CCGATACCCTTCTCTTCCTTTCCCGACTCGGTCTCCTCAAACCAGCCACATATTCTGGCCGTTCCGGCAGGTCGTCCCCTGGTGTTCGCACGATGGGGACCCCATGTAAGGCTCCAGGTGCCGTGTTCGTGCCGGGTAATTCCGCTCTCCTCGGTGATGACATGGGATCTGCTTCGATCGCTTGCCTGGGAGTTTCCAGTTCTTTTATCTCATCGCCATAGAGCTCCGCAGGACTGTTCTCATTTACAGCATGAAGCTCGTACTTTTTTGGAAGAGATGAAGCTTGACCGGATGGGCCGCTGGTGTCAGGCAGTTCGTGGGGGCTGTGGCGTTTACGGTATCGACGACGGAGAAAGAATGCTGCGATGGCGATGATGATGAGTCCTGCAACACCACCACCGGCACCGCCGGCAATAGCCCCTGTTGTGCTCTTCTTCTTAGGAGTAGGTGGACTTGGAGTATTTCCTGGTGCAGTATCACCTGAAGCAGTGCCTGGAGATGGCGTGGTTTTACTTGGTGTTTCGAAGACAGTCTTCAGACCTTGTTCTGTCCAGCCCATGGCGGGCTCCTTTTTCGTACCGTTGCCATTTGCGTCTCCACCAGTCGCATTCAGCAGTTTGTTGGGCACCTGGAATTCCGGTCGGTCGACTGAGAAGACACTCCCCCATGTTAAAGCTGTCATGTCCCATACTGCAACCCCTTTCGTTTCCCAGTCACAGGTTAAGGTTGGAGTATTGCCGCCTACCGTAATCATCTGACGTTTTCCGACAACATGGCATTCGTGACCCCATCGTGGTGACTCACCTAGAGGCCAAACATTTGTCCAGGTGAATGATGGCAAAGTCAAAATTACAACGTCGTCATAGGCCGTATTCGTGATTGGATTTCTGCCACCGTATAGATAGATATGATGACTAGAGTTATCGGGTGATGAAATGGACACTGTACAGAAGTCTATGCGTGGTTCTGGTACATTTCCAGTGGTATTTTGCGAATACCAAGTCCCGTTGCTGTCTGGTTTTTGGAGGTAAGAGTCGATATCGAACACGTCGACCGTCTCAAAGTCAATCTGCCGGAGTGTAAGGTGAAGATTCATAAGCTGACTGTTTTACTCACCAATGAGCCTGTGCTGACGTTGGCAAAAGGGCTAGCAAGGTTAGGTTGTATCTGACCACCAAGTGCTACAAGCGCTCCCATGCCACCAATTGAAGCAAAGTATTCCATCGTACCTCCCACCCTAGGAGCGCCGCCCCTCAATCCGGACGTCGATATGTTCTTCCCACTCTGCGACTTGAGGTCGAGAATAACCATACCCTCCATAGGCACATAGATGTCTTCGGTTTTCGGGAAACTGTCAACTGTCTTTGCTGCGGTACCCCAATCAATCTGGCCGTTCAAGTAGAAGGCCAAACCTTGATCTATCGCCTCAGCGGCTGCGCCATGGTTAGGCGTCCACTCGGTGTCCCTTGAGTATTGGTCCCAGGGGTTGCCAGCTCCATACGTATATGACCACAGAGGGTAGAATGCTGATGGTTCTGGCCGCGTAAATGCCTCAAAGGACTGGTTGCCCATGAAGGTTGTACCGCCGTACACGTACACATTGGGTTGATCAACAGGGCCATGGAACATATGACCACGAATGAGGCTGGGCGGTGGCGTACCAGTAGTCGGATTCTTTACATTCTTAGCTTGAGCATCGATGGTAATGTTCAACTTCCAGTCCCACGTGGAGTTAAGAGGAATGGTGATCATGTAGCTGTTTATGCCTAGGATCGGGCTGGTGACATCCGTGCCATTCCATTTTTGTACTCCACTATCGATGTACAGGACGTCGTTCTTCACAACCGATTGTGCCCCTGTTCGTGGTCCGTATCAGCAATCATCGCCCGAGTCAATCATCAGTCCCCTAGAAGAGTGATGGGTGGATCATTACGAATAGCATCACTCACACCATCTCGAGCAAAAGTTCTTTAGTGGATCCAGACGAAAGTTTTGTGCGTGTACGGTAGGTGAGATGTAAACACTATCCAAGACAAGACACAGGAGAATGGCTTGTGTCAATTGGAATAGTCTTGAGATGAAGAAGTCCATGTCATTTGAGCGTACTACAGACGCTCACCTAGGTCGGCGCTGCTGCAAAATCAGCCTAAGATGTCGGGCAATACCCAGACCATGTATATGTAGGTCGCTTCGTCAGCGGTCTCTGTGCAGCAATCGGTCTGCCTTAGGGGCGCGCTAAGCCCTTTTGTCGCTGCAGGTGTGGCAGGCCTCGCCTTAGTATGTTGCGGAGGCACGCTAAAGCCCTACATTTGACTTGAGTACATCCCAGGGCTTTAATTTCGCAGGAACACTTGCTTGAAGTGTAAGATCTTGTTCAACCATATGTATGTCGATGCGCAAAACTGAATGAAGCATGAGCAATTCGAATGATATTTTTGGTGTAAGCAGCATTTCAACACCCTCTCGTTCCTATATTGACAGCCACTTTGCGGCTGGAGATGTCAGCGACATGGGTATATGCAACATTTCCAATAATTTGGACGAAGGCTGGTGTACCCTGACCATGGTGGGTCGCTTGACGGAGTTTTCGAGGTGACCCTCTCCAGTAAACATTAATCTAGAACGCCGGGGAATCGCGGTGAGGGGCTGCTTTGGCATCTTGTGCATATGGGCATTTTGTGAATATCCCTGGAGGTGCATGAGAAAACATGCGAACCCTGACATAATCAGCTCATTCACTAGGACGACTTTCTGCTTTGGGCTGAGAAAGCCACAGCCTGCCGCGGAGAGAGGAATGATAAGCAGGATTTTGATTAGTCACATGGCATTTTGCTAGCGCCTTATTGGGTCACTCGGGCCGACGCCTGAACGGAGGCTTTTCTCGCTTTCTTTTTTGGCGCTGTGTCGCCTTGCAAGCTTGGCTGGAAGGATTGCCGATCATCCGACACAGAAAGATAAGTCGAGTGCGCTGTTGGTGTCGCTGTTCAATAGGCCAAGTTCTGTCTGCTGGCATGAGGGATAGAGCGAGAATCAAATGCGTTGGACATAGTGATACGGAAGATACCGTGGCAGCTTTCGCTGCAGGGTGTAGGGAATTGACGTGGCATTTGGCGGTCTCCTTTCCTGTAGGGCGGTTGCACGGCGACGCTACCCAAACAACAGTTTGGCTTCGGGAGATTACCTGCAGCAATTTTGGGGTGCGTGCGGGTCCATACCTAGTTCAGACACTGTGTGGAATTTATCCATGTGCAAGGGCAAAAGAGTTTTCAAATATACGAGCTGAAAGACTCGTGGAGGTGTGTTCTGTTGTCGCCAGCTGAACCGTACATACGTAGTAGCGCATGCAGTTCGCATTGATAAGATTGTAAAGAAAGTATGCGCACGGCAAAGACAAGCGCTGAACAATGATCCCTACTTGATGCGTCAATGATACATAGTGCAAAGGCGCGATAAGTGGAAAGAGCAGGACGGTGCCAACGATGCTCGACACGGACAAGTCGTTGAACGCCAGCATAGCCTGGAGCGTGGACCATAGAATGGGTGTGTAGACTGGTCGTCTGGGAAACAGGACTGACCACAAATGTAGAGTACGATGGATTTTGGGGTCGTTACTTACAACGATATAGATCAAAGTGGTAATGCCGAACACTTCTCTGAAAACAATAGAGAGAGTACACTGCCGGCCAATATGCTCAAGTTAATCACAATATTGCAACTGCTTATGCTGGGTCACGTGCAACCGAGTGCTCAAGTGTAATACAACTTTGCCGAGTGAACGCTCACAACATTGACTCGACAAATTGCTTCATAGCTTTAGTGGCACTTTTTGAACATCTCTCAGCTCCAGTACTTGTTCATCCCCTACACAGTAGACTGCAAAAATGCCATCTTCTCCATCCTTTTCCCCTCGATCTGTTGTCCCTCCTAAGCTCTTGACCTCGCCATCTGCGCATGTCAGACGGATTTTGGGAGTTTACGCAATGTCATTGATTGTGAATAGCGTAATTGAAGACAACGCTAAATGAATGCTGGCGACCGCCAAAGGACATGCATCTCATTGCCATTCCGTGGTTGTCAGGCGGTGAGATGGCGGAACGATTTGACTGTCTGACATTGCGAAGAGATCTTCTGTACTGTTCCATAACATTTGAATAATATCGACCCTATTTATGATAAAAAAGGTAGTACTCGAGGCCCTAGGAAGCTAATTTAGCCCGAGCCTCGGAGCTGACCCTCCGCCCAAGACAACTTCAATGTCAACAGGGTCGCGGCTATTCCACGGGCATCATATTCATATCTTATGGATACAATGTATTCTCGGGAAACAAAGGGCTACCCGGTTTTTCGATTGTCAGATGACCTGGTAACGTCGAGGATCCTGCTGTCGGTGTTGTGTATGTATTGTCAACGCAACGCAATGGTTACGTAGCCAACCATGCAAACCACAATCTTTCAGAACTGTCTTATACAATACTATCGGGCCTTTATTTGTACATATGCCTATTGATTAGATAGCATTGGAAACCGAAAAAATTGATTACAACTGGCATCTGCTGGTTGGATAAAGAGGCCCCTCGGAGACGGTGGAGACTTGGACTGTGATTGGCCTGACGTAACATCGCCATCATACTCAACGCATATCAACACGACACCTCGGCATCACAATGTCATGACAAAATGTCTCGTCACGTTCTCGTTGTAATATAACTGGCTTGCAGCTAGCATACGTCAAACATCCTATTCCAGCACAATGCCATTATTCACAGCACCGTCATCTTGACACGCTCACCTCCTACTCCGCCCCTACGTCCTTAAGTTTGACCTCTCACCCACGGTAAACTATGGAGATTGCTGCATCTTTGACGTCCAAGCTGCCCACCATGACTAGCACCAACGCCAACTCGAACCAAACTGACCCTCTCAAGCACCCTCTTGAAGCCACCGCAATGGCCATTAAGGGAGCTGCTTCTGGCGAAAGTCGTGCCCCCCGGGCTTTCCATATGCAGAGCTCAAATGAGGGCCCAGCAGACATCATCGCCAAGGTTGCTGGGGTTACTCAGGGTGGAAAGCGTGAAGATGACGGCCCATATTTCACCAACAATGAAGGCATTCCATGGCCCGACGCAGAACATAGCAAGACCATCGGCGGAATCCCAGTCGCTAGCGATGTTTTCCTCTTCCAGAAGCAGCAGACATTTAACCGCTCAAAAAATCTCGAGCGCATGGTGCACCCCTGTGGTTCAGGTGCTTTTGGTTATTTCGAGACCACCAAAGATGTCACCCACCTCACCAAGGCCGACTTTTTGAAGACTGTAGGTGAGAAGACGCCCATATTCATACGATTCAGTACCGTTACTCCTGGACGCGAGTATCCCGACGAAGCTCGTAACCCTCGTGGATTTGCCATCAAGTTCTATACTGGAGAAGGCAACTACGACATCGTTGGGTTGAACTTCCCAGTTTTCTTCTGCCGTGATCCTATCCAGGGCCCAGATGTCATCCGATCGCAATGGCGTAACCCCAAGAACTTCCTTTTCGATTACGATGCTATTTTCGACTTGCTTGCCAACACCCCCGAGGGTAACCACGCTGGCCTAATGTTCTTCAGTGACCATGGCACGCCCCAGGGTTGGCGTTTCAACCACGGGTATGGATGCCACACGTTCAAGTGGGTGAACAAGGACGGTCAATTCGTGTACATCAAGTACCACTTTGTTGCTGAGCACGGTCAAAAGCAATTCACCCAGGAACAAGCGACACAAATGTGTGGCGAGGACCCTGACTATTCCAAGCGTGATCTATATGAGACTATTGAGAATGGCGAGGAGGTAGTCTGGAAAGCACACGTACAGGTCATGAGCCCAGAGGAAGCCGATCCCGATAAGCTTGGCTTCGATCCTTTTGACGTCACCAAGGTCTGGCCGCGTAAGCAATTTCCTATGCAAGAGTTTGGACGCCTGGTTTTGAACAAGAACCCTGAAAATTTCCATCGTGACGTCGAGCAGGCGGCCTTCTCCCCGGGTAGCATGGTGCCCGGTGTTGAAGACTCGCCTGATCCACTTCTTCAGTTCCGCATGTTCTTCTACCGCGATGCGCAGTACCACCGTATTGGTGTGAACTTGCACCAGATTCCCGTCAACTGCCCATTCATGGCCAAGTCTTTCGCATCCCTCAATTTTGATGGCCAGATGCGTGTCGATGCCAATCATGCTGGGAACAAGCCGTATGCCCCAAACAGCTTCGCGCACAAGTTCCGGCCCGATGTCGCTGAAGCACCATACCAGGTCAATGACAACATCATGAGCCGAAAGAGTCATTATTGGCATGAGGGCAAGAAGAACGAGTACGACCAGGCTAAGGAGCTTTGGTCACGCGTAATGAGCGTACAGGAGAAGCAAAACACCATCAAGAACACCGCAAACATGCTTAAGTTTGTCCGATACCCCGAGATTCAGGTAAATTCTCCCTGACAGATTCCGCACATCGCGTTTTCGCTAACAATCTTGAAGAAGAAGTACCTGGCGCAGCAATATAATATCGGTACCGACCTGTCGAGAGGCATTTACGACCTCCTCCCGAAGCCAGCGTTCGATTTCAGCGAAGTCGAGGAGCTTTCTCACACAGCCCATGAGTGGTATAAGGAGAAGAAGTTTAGGTCTATCGATGGCGAGAGGCTTACAGGTTTCCCTCCATCGATGCCTGTTTATAATTACTGAGCTTAGTATAGTGACTGATACTGAAAAGGTCTATGAGCCAGGCCATATACCTGTCGTTCGCACCTAGCTTTACTGTTAAAACCGTTTGCGATTTGTTCGAAACACCATTTTCTGTATCAATCTCCAATGCAAATTGTGTCCTATGCTAGATGCTGTCGGGATTTCTAAGTCTAGGCCATTTGATTCTCAACCACATCATGTAATGCAGTCCCAATGATTGGTCCCATATGCAAGCGGTTGGTCCCTGATAATTTTGCCACATCAACGATCGATACCCCTTGCGCGAAAGCTTGTTCAGGGGCGTTGAGAATTCTAGCATGTGGGACGTATCTCCCTTAATGTTTATTGGTCATCTGTCATCGTGAATAAAACTCTGGTCCAGCCCACCCCCTTATGTTTACAGTCCACACTTGCTTCATGCTACTGGCGCATAGAAGCTAAATTTACCCTTAGGGCCATACTTTCTTTTAAGCGCCTTTAGCTTCTCCTACCTCCACTCCTCGTGACCATACCAACTTGGTGATCCCTCGTCTCCATACGCATAGTTGACATACGTATGGAGTTCTTTCCTGCCAGTACCCTCCCAGATAATATTTCGAAGTTGAGTACCAAGTTGCTTAACAGTATCATCTTGGGCCTGGCCGGTAAAGTTGTAAATGATAAGAGGAGCAGAGAGCAGGTAGTCATTTCGGAACCCGAAAGCACTAGCACTATTATCGCGATGACGGACACTGTCGCTAGGATAGTCTTCAAACATGAATATCGAGTTGTAGTATGGATTATCAGCACCAGAGATGGCGGACACGTAAAGGTCATATGCCTTGCGTTGGGCGGTGATGTTGTAGGTGGAGGTATAGATGGGGAATCTCGGGTTGTTGAAACCAAAGTCTTGATAAGGGGGAGAATCAAGGGCAATGCTGGTCCATTTGGCCAGGTCAAGGTAAGAGCCAGACTGGGGAGTGATGGTGAGAGGACCGATATCGTGAAAGGGAGCAGTGTACTTGGATTCGACAAAAGTAACACCTTCCTGAATGATGTACATGATTATGACTGGCTATATTGATATCAGCATGTACGCAAGTATGTTTGGTTCGTCATTGGTTCATTTTACCCTTTCCGAATCAAGTGTAGCGTCGTTCTGCCAGTATGACCAATTCTGGATTTCAACTGATTGATTCCCACCTCTCAGTATGTGTTTATTGGCAGCTCCGTAGACCTCTTCAACCTTATCTCCACTGAAAATGATTGTCTCAATCGCCCAGTTCGAATGCTCGATATCGTAAATCTTGGTAGTGACGGATGTGACGATTCCGAAGTTCTGGCCCGCCCCTTGCATGCCCCACCACAGATCCGATCGGCTGTCGATACTTTTGAAGTCGCCATTGGCGAGGACAATGTTCATGGACTCGAATTGATCAGTAATGAGCCCGTGACGACCTTGCAGCCAGCCATGTCCACCACCCAACGCAGGTCCCAAAAAGCTAACACATTCACAGCATCCAGTGACTAGTTTGACTCAGTCTATGAACACTTTCAACGCATTGGATGGGCAAATCCTACCAGTCTGCTTTCCAGCCGTCCAAAGCGTATCAATTAATTTTTTAGAGTTGATACCGCCACCAACAGTCACAGATTTACCATCTTTGCTGATAGCAATGGAATCTAGCTGTGGCATGTATATTTCGATTCCATAGTCCATCTTGCCTAAAGTAGTAAGTGTGCCATGATGCCCGTTGTGCGTAAGAAATGGAATGTCATGCTGATTCGCGAATTTGACCTAGAGCGCATGCCACTCGATTAGTTGCTGAACTCGACACCAGTCCCTGGGTAATCCACAATGTGCTGAACATCATTTTCCGTCCCAGGAGCAATCACAACGCTGGGCGTCGGAGCTTCGAGGTTGGACCAACGCGTTGTGTAGCTGATGAAATCGTCGGTGTCGGGGAGATAAATTCCGGCCCTGGGTGAGAGTTTCGGGACTAGGGCTTCCACATCGATACCTGAGGCAGGGGTCCTGGACATAATATCGAATGAAGTCGCCAGGCCACATGACACAAGGGGATATATCGAAGAGATGATCATGGCAAACGGCGCGAAAATGCGTGAAAACATGATTGAATGGGGGCGCCCAAATGGAATGTTGCGATTGGAAAGCTGACCTCCATCTTCTCATATACAGAGAAGGGGTTACAAGGAGACATAACACCCCAGCCCGCAAGGGGAAGATGGCCCGATAACCTTATATAAGGGTCGTCGTAGACGGATGCGAGAACAGGACGAACTGCGCGGGGTAGTAAGAACACCATAGCAGCGTAAGTGTACAGCATCCATTGTGATTCGAGAATATGGAGCCTGAGTCATGCGCGTGCATGTTTCGAGCTTGGTTTCTTGTGGCATTGTAATGGGATCAACTTAGGGTAGTGCCTGGGAAGACGGGTCAGTGCCATTGGCTTGTGGTTCGGATGAACGTATTCCTCGCACAGCCCACTTTGGAGCCGCCAGGCATGCGCTAATGCGCTTGAGTAGCCTTTCGTACATCTCAACCGAAATCCTACATCCCTCATCTTTTTTCAAATATTATCCATAGACCGTGCAACTGGGTAGTATGCAAACATCTGACCTGAGGTATTTGTGATACTTCAAGGATTTGGCCATTACCTGCACTCACCTTGACCCAACTAGGGGATCCTGTCACAAGCGTTCAACCGCATCAATTTAGATACAGGATTCGAAAACTGGAAGATTTTCTCTTAGTGTTATATATGTACACCTCACCCAGATTTTTGAAAATGCGAAATTTTTGGCTAAGGCCAGGCGAGGCTCTCTCAAAGGCGACGGTAATCTCACTGCAATGCGGGTATGGTCAACTTGACGAAAGGCGCAAGGCATTGAATACTTCAAAGCCGGTGCCCTTGTATGCTGATTACATCTAATCCCACCTGTTCTCTTCCCATTCATGCATAGCGTTGTTTTGGAATGTGGGTGGAACGATCTCTAGGCTAATCCTGTTTTTTAACAAGTTGAAGCCTAACTGCATGAGTGTCCTTAATATTCACCTCTCATAACGAGCCGATGTTTTCATGCTAAAGGTCAGCTGAACCTTCCATGGCAATTACGTGAAATTGGAGTGGACTTGTAAAATTTCGGTCGCGTGCTTGTGTGTGAACTCTTATATCCCACCTCTTAGAGCTGATAGGAATACTAAAAGCTTCATTGTACGTATTTCCGTACTTTGGCATGATATTACACTACCATGGCGTATATCTATGAATTCATACAGAATGGATAGTAAATAATCTATTGATTCGCTAAATCCACCCAATACCAAAACGTAGAAGTCCAAGAACTCATTAATCAATTTGAATACAAAGTTCTGGCGGGATATATTGAATCGTCGCCCCCAGATTGAGTTGTGTAGCTCTATCGCTCTACTCAGGTCTGCAACAAGATGTTAGGTTGGTATTTCATGACACCTCTGACGAAAGAGTAGGAGCAGCGTCGTTATTCCGTCTACATAGCGACGATCACTGGAATCAACTTCAACATTCCCATCGCCTTTCTTCACTCGTTGAGTATCGGATCGGCCTCAGCCATCCCCCGTTTTGGAAGACTACTCACATCCTAGTTCAGCTCAAAAGATGCCGCGTGAATCTCATGGGAAGCAAGGTCGTCTTTCGTAGTTTGCGTCATCTGCGCGGACAAATGGAGACATGCCGCCTTGAGCAATGATACAGCACTGTTTAACGCCTTTACTAGCACTATGCAACGCAGGATACATTCTTTGTCACAGTAAGGATTGTAGAACACTCTGACTAGGAGATTTTACCTGCAAATCCCTAGTATGCTCATTTATTCGATACACAATTACTTCGCTCATATAGCACGCTGAGTAGACTAAAAACGTAAGTTGCTTGGACTGAAAAGGCAGGCCTTTGGCCTTGTCGCTCCTAGAGATTGGGTTGACTTTTTCTATCATGTTGGTAAGAGCTACGACAGTGTTATCGTGCCTGAAAACGACAATCGACACGTAAAATCCATGCCCATTCTGAAGCTAATAATGGCTAAGCACCAATGTAAAAGCTATGCAGTTTGTAACGATCCAACATGCGTTATCGCATGGGCAGGTGGCCTAGTACTGTTACTAAGGCATAGCGCCTTGCTGGATTTCCTCTGCTTAGTTTAGCTACTTCTCACAACCTGCTTTTTGGGATCGTCATTGAACTACTACCGTTCCGACCACCTATATATTCTGCTGTGAATCTGTTCGGTTTCGTCTTCATTCTATGTCTGTTAAGTTTAACCCAGACGTCGTCTGGAAACGAAGCTAGGAATAGTGTGATGTCTAGAACCACAAACGTGTGAACGTTAAAAAACGAAGCCGTAGTCGAATACGTAGCTATTTCTGTTTCTTGCCTCAACCTAGAGGTCAACCAACAGCGCTGTGAAAGCTCTTAGCCCACAAAGAACATAAAAAAGGGGACGGAAGACGGGGTAGTTAAGCGGGCTCTACCTACTCAAGTATATCTCTGATGCATGCAGATCTCATGAAATCTGCCGAGGGTTTGGCAGTTGATTAGCGCCGGGTCCACCGGAGGTGTGTGTTATCGGTCTCGGGGTTCAGGGGAACGGGCCGAACATAACAGCTGGTTCCGTGTTGACATTCGTTAGATTGTTGACGAAACTGCCAACTACTGCCTAATGAAGGTGTTGATTTTGACATAAGCAGTACGTTGAATGCATCTGTTGGCCGTAGAGCGGAAATAAAGGTAGTCCGCGCCCCACCCTGCCTGGATCTAGTATCAAGAACCATAATAACTTCACAGTGGAGGTAATAATTTCAAAGAGATATCTGTAATAGAACGTCAGACCCTCTGTTCAGAGATTCATGTATTTTGCTCAAGCATGTCCTTGGTCGCGGAGAAAAGCTTCGTACGTGGAGAAGCCCGTAAAGATGACGGGGCGCTTCTTCCGATAACTCTTTCCCTATTCTATGCAGGGGAGTTAATTACTGGCTATTTGCCATGGATTTAATTGACGCTATACTATATACAGTCTAAGACTGACTGCTTACCCTGTGTCAAACCCCACTTTCAGTCCCGAATATAATGCGTTTTATTTCGTCCCTCAGCATATGGACAAAAGACTGAATAATTGCTGCAGGAAAGATGGTCGGAGGGAGTCTCGCCACAAGTGCATATCCTTGTGCGTCTATGTGGGTGATAGTCGGAGAAACCAAATATTCTTTTTCACACTGTAAGAGAAGCTTCAACATTGAAAGTTCCTCGCAAGACTAAGACGTAGGAGAGGTTTTTCAAATGACGATATTGGCATTTCTCGAATTGAAATATCACAGCTAAAGCACCTGTCCATAGCTAAAGCGCTTCTTAGCTCATCGAAGTTTTAGAACACATAATCAGAGTACCTTGTATGTCACCGTTAGGCAAAAAAGAAGTCCAGGGTGGAATGTACCAAGGATATATGATAAGGTTCGTTCAAGACAACGGCCGTTTTGAGAGCGTACTGTGCATGATTCCATTCGCGAAAAGGTTTCTGTGATAATGATACAGAATATATACCTGATTAGGCGCTCGTTAAATTTCAAGAGTTGAATGCACTTTGAGCTGAAGTCAGCCCATGTACGTCTTAAAAGCATTTTGTGAAGTACATATAGGTAAATAGCCTGCCTTGTTGTTTATACCCGTGCTTCTCTCCCTTTCTACTGCGCCAACTAAAAGACTATAGTACTATATCGACAACCCCACCCTAATTGCAAATTTTCTAACTAAGTTGCACTCTTGGCGTACTAGATAGGCGTAATTAGACCTATATACGGTTTTTAGTGGCGACAGATTTAGCCTGAGTCTCGAAGCAAGTATTTTACGAGGGGACTATATGGTCGCACTGCTAGAAGAACTCGGAATTAATATTGCGTGTCTTTGGAATTGTAGTGAGTTAATTTCTTATAATAGGCTGGAGGAAGGGGCGTTAAAGGTGCATGTTTATGCCAGCTAATGCTGGTATCTTACGAATAGATTTTGATTTTGGTGAATAGAGATTGAGAGAGCTGAAGGAGAAGACAAGGATAGATTGGTTATTGTTAAATGTGATGAGCTCGAATGGAGGATAAGATAAGGTGAATGAGAGTGTGTGTGATGAGATGGGAAGATTGCCGGAAAGCGAATTGCTTGTGGGGGCAAAGATGTGGCATACGACTGTATTGCAAGGATATAAAGTAGGGTTCTTGGAATTGGCGGGTAGGTGAGTGAAGATGCAGGGGCGGATGGCGTAACCTTATTTCACTGACTGAATTATAGCGACTGGCCGTTGAACTGTAAGCGCTTGTTAGAATGCTGCATTGTCTTGCTGGTAGAAGCAGCACGGGCACTTTCTTAGCATCTTTGTAGGGTCGAGAAGCGCAATTTTGTTATTGCTATCACGCACATGCGCTTGGTGGAAGATCTGAGCGTCTTAGAGGTTTTGAAAGATAGTGTGGATGATTCTAGAGTATATCTACTTCTGGGCGGACACGATTATGATCTCTTAAGGAGATATGAAGGAGAATTGACATACGACGACCCTACCGTTATAGACGCTAGTGTACCCAACTCTGAAGTAATTATTGGTAATACTGGCATGATATGCGATGCCAATGGTGCGGTTCGCATCGTAAAGTCTGGGTTGGACTGGAAGAATCTCAGCCTTGTGCGTCTCTAGGTATCCCGGTCCGTCACGGGTAACGCAACTCTGCACAACATTTCCGTCACGCAAGTTGTAGACATGAACAAACTCGCCCACGATACTGAAGCTCTATCGTCCTCCCTAACTACAGTGAATCACTCTCTTAAACACGTAAACGAACAAAAGTCCAGACCCCCCTCTCACGCGCTCCTGCTCTCGCCCACGCCCCTCGAAGGCACAGGCTCTATCGTCCGCTCCCGCGAGACAAACCTCGGAAACCTCCTCGCCGACATGATTCGCATATACTATGCCGTCGACATTGCCCTTGTTAACATGCTAATCGCGATATCTTGCTCTTCAATTGTGATATTTAGGTGACAATTACCATTTCGGGCCATTTCACGTGCGGATTAGTGTGGTGTAGCATTGGTGAGAGGTATTTAAAACATTGATGGTGGGTGGAGGTTTAGTGGGGTAGCTCCACTTGCAAAACTTTTAACGCATGACTGTATTAACAAATATAGAAAGGTTTTATAGAACACTAGCGTAGAATGCGCTATTAGACAATAGTTTCTGAATGGACTATGATTTCACTAGTATATTATAGAGGGTGTGATAGTAAGACTATGGGGGGCTCATTGCTACTGGAAGGCTGACACCATTCACCTGGGAAGCATTTTCACTCAGTAGCCAAACGATACTTTGCGCAACATCTTCTGGTTCTACAGCACCTGGAAGTCCCTCCTGATCAAGTGCCTTCTGTGCGTCTTCAATACTCGCTCCAAAAAACTGTTTCATCATAGGCGTCTTTACAGGACCTTATAGAGTTATCAATTAGTACTTTTAACTCAGATATAGCACAATTACAGTGGACATACCTGGGAGAACGCCATTAACTCGTATACCAAATCTCTTCCCGTCTGCAGCAGAACTACGTGTAAAATGCTCAGCGGCCGCTTTACTTGTAGAGTAGGCATAAGCTCCGCCAACATGAAGTAATGCTGCCATGCTCGTAAGATTTACGATAGACGGATTGCTCTCAGGATTTTTGTACATAACTCGGAATTGAGCACGTGTACAATACATTATACCGTCCGAATTGACTGAATGAACTTGACGCCACTTTTCGTCTGTCTCCTGTAAAAGCCATGGCATTGACGATTCGCCTCTAAGAGCGAATTGTGGGAGGCCTGCAATATTTGCAGCGCCATGGAGAACTCCGTCCTGAGCGATAATACTATCGACCCATTTATCGACTTGGGAAGAATTGCTAACATCAACATCGTCTAGATGGACTGCAACAGATGGATTAATCGCTGAAAGTTTCGTACGGACTGTATCGAATAGCTTTGTCTGTCGGTCAGCAATCCAAATGGCTTTCGCGCTATGTTGAGCAAGTAGAGCTGCCGTCGCAAAGCCCATACCAGATGCACCCCCGGTGACGCTGAAGACACGTCCAGCCAGATTTATGCCAGCTTTAGCCAAAGCCATAGTGTTCCTGTTGAAGCTTGAGAGGATTGTGAATCCAATTTAGGAGGACTAGCGGACGATAGCTCAGATCTTAAGGGAGGCAAGGAGGATAATGAAAAGGTTGACTAGTGTACGACTAATATCTAATGTGAGTGGAGAGAAGATGTTATATGAAGAGAATGAACTAACTTGTAGTCTAGTTATAAGTTTTGGTAGAGGCTTTTGAATCACCGGATGGAAAGGGAGCGTAGGCACTCTGGGCGGCAATAGATACTCCGCGATCCGCTACAGCTAGAGACCTAGGTGGCTGTATTACGGGGTTTAGTACTAATAAAGATTTCCATTACACATTCACAATACCCTTTTAGTAAATTTAGTAGCGCGGTAGTTATTTCTTACAGTATGCTGGCCTGCTCTTTGGAGACAAGTCACGTTTTCTCAAGTCCACAGGCGATAGTCTGTGATCCGATGTTACCGGATTGCAGTGGGGCTATGAGGAGAATGCGGGGTACCCTGCATCGGAACGGATACTTTTCTTTTCCATCTTAGACCCCAGGATCTTTCCGCCTAGAACCCTAACTCTATCGATATAGTGTTCTAATTGCCTACCCCATCGGATTGCTCGGGTCAGGGATTGAGGGAGATACGTCTTAGAGTAGTAAAGGCTCAGTTGATAATATAACGCTCTTATTGTACTATTAACTACCGAGATTATATGATACCCGCGATTCCGGATTAGAATCAAGTTTCGGATGCCGGGTCTGTGCTAATTCCGTGGTGCCAAGCAAGCTAAGGCCACTAAAAGCAATGTAGATAGTATAGGAGTTATTTGATAACTGCGTCGGAGAGCATTGTCACTGGACGTTCTATTAGGGACGAATGATAGTGCTGGATCTCTACAAGGACTGTTATCGTTCCACCCGAGATAAAGGACTAATCTATACTGAGTTAGAGCGCCGATGGTAGTTGCACGTTTAGAGCTTGGCGCACTGGGAAGTGATCTCGAATCTCGGATCTTCGACCTGCCGTGATTGTTTACATCTATAGAATTGTGTAAGGTTTTTGCGAAATCGCTGTACTCAAATATTGGTGACAATTCCTGGGAAGAACTTTAAGATGAAGCCTTCACCGTACAACTATAACTTTTGAATCCAGCTTTCAATCAAACATCTTTGAATCGTTCATCTATAACGAGTTTTCATAGCTCTGCTATCTCGAGTCATATAATCAATAGCAATATGTCTACTAAGTTTGATCTCAATCGGTATCGTGTTCCGAGTAAGCTCTTCATCCATGGAGAATGGGTCGATAGCAAAAGCAATAAGACGCGGGCATTCAGCTCAATTGTATCTGGCCAATCCATTTGCCCAGGTATGATATAGCAACCCGGTACCACAGTTTCGCCACTGGACTAATGAGGATACTAAAGACGTTCAGTGGGCAAATGCGGAGGATGTTGATATTGCTGTGGAATCTGCCATGAAAGGTCTGAAGGCATGGCAAGCAATCAGTAAAGTATGGTCCTGGAGAGCTATCTCGACGCAATTATGGTTATACTAAGACCTCCGGCGACATAGACAGAAAGACGAGCTCTCCTTCTGCGTTTTGCAAAGCTTGTGAAAGAACATACTGATGAATTGGCTTGGCTTGATAGTATCTTGACGGGTAAGCCTGTCGGACTTGGCAGGTTCGAGGTGAATGCTGTTGTTGATGCACTTGAATGTAAGCCAAGCGATATACAGCAGCTCGATCGTGTTATGCACTAACATTCAACCAAGACTATGCCACTTTCATGGACAAATTCCCAGGGGAGACGACTGTAGTCGAAGATGAAGGACTCACGGTAACTTACATATTCTGCTAGTCTATAGCTACATTTTCGTGGCTAGACATCTGTATGTTTTTGGTAACTAACAACCCGAACTAGTACACCCACTATCAGCCGTATGGAGTATGTGCCGCGATGTTACCTTACAATGGGCCTCTTATATGCACCGGGATGAAGCTTGCTCCTGCCCTTGCAGCAGGGAACGTCCTTATTTCCAAAACAAGCGAAACAAACCCATTTGGTTGCCTTCGCCTTGCGGAACTAGCTGTTCAAGCTGGAATCCCTCCTGGCGTCGCTAATTGCATCAACGGCGACGTTGAAGCCGGCAGCGCTTTAGCATCGCATATGAAGATACGCAAGATCAGCTTCACTGGCAGCGTTGCTGTTGGAAAGCAGATTCAGATCGCTGCTGCTAAGTCAAATCTGAAACGTGTCACTCTTGAATTGGGCGGCAAGAGTCCTATAATTGTGTTTCCAGACGCCGATATGGATAAAGCGGTGCAGATGTGCACGCTTTTCTTGACATTGAATGGTCAAGGCTGCATACTTCCTACCCGCGCATACGTGCACGAGTCTGTATTCGACGAAATCCTCTCTCGAGTAAAGACGGTTGTGCAATCGTATCGGGAAAATATGCGGTCTGATCCCTTACTGGATGAGACCTGGAGTATGCCCTTGTTTCACGAACGACAGAGGGATAGTGTGCGCTCATTTATCGAAAGAGCAAAGCAAGAAGCAACTTTGGTCGTTGATGGTTACCCTGAAGACCCTAAAGATCCCTACATTGGTCCGACTATCTTTACAAACCCTTTACCTACAGCCCAAGTTTTACGAGAAGAGGCATTTGGGCCTGTGCTTGTTATATGCGCATTCAATGACACTGACAAGGTCATTGAACTTGCCAATGATACGGAATACGGTCTAGGGGCCTACGTATGCACGAAAGACATCGGAACTGCGCTTCGGCTTTCAAATAAGCTTGAAGCGGGGTCGATAGGGATCAACAGGTCGGCTTATGCAATTGAAACTCCTTTTGGTGGTTGGAAACGTAAGTTATAGTCTAGCTATTGTTGAAAAGAGGCTAACATAACATAGAAAGCGGTCAAAATGTAGAAAACGGCCGGGAGGGTTATCGTGACTGGTTGCAAGTGAAGACCATTGTCATCGGTGCATCATGAACTGATTAATTTCTCGATCACACCTACCACACTTAGGAAGCTATCTTTTTTTAAATTTTTTTTTTTAAAATTCTATATATATTAGGTTGCTGGCTTCATTTATAACTGCTTAAAAACTAGCCCGTGCGCAGATATTCTTACCTTAAAAGTACTACGAGCCTAGGGTTAGGTCTAGGTAAAGACGTAATTTCTAATTTCCTAAATAGGTAATAAAATTTCTATTTTAAAACGCTATTCTTTTA